TCCTCCGGATCTCCTCCCAGTTGGACATGCCTATAAGACCTCCCTAGGGAGGCGTCCAGAGAGCATCCTTATGAAATGCACCTCAACTGGCTGCTATCAATGTGGAGGAGCAACAGCTCTACTCCGAGTCTGGATAACTGAACTTTAACCCTATCTCAAAGGGAGAGTCCAGCTACTCAGTGGAGGAAACTCATTCTAACCACCTGCATCAACAATCTTGTTCTTTTGGTCACGACCCAAAGTTTGTTACCATAGGTCATAGGTGAGGGTAGGAACGTAGATCGACAGGTACACAGAGAGCTTTGTCTTGCAGCTCCGCTCCCTCTTCACCACAACGGACCGGCACAGAGTACACAACACTGCAGAAGCGACATTGATCCATCTGTTGATCTCACGCTCCATTCTTCCCTCACTCATCAACAAAACCCCAAGATACTTGAACTCTTCCACTTGAGACTGATTTCAATTGGCCGTTATTGGTCGTGTAAAAAAATAAAAAAAAGCAATTGGTCATGTCTATACTTAATTTATTACCAAGTAGGAAAATTAGTTGCAGCAACAGCTTTAGTTTTTAAGCAATAATTCTCTATACATTTCTTTTAAGAGAACAAATGCCTCTAATTGTTGTTAAATATTGGTATACATTTATTTGAGTTAATCAATTATTGTTACTTTTTTAATGAAAAAGACCCATTTATTAAAACTGGTGTTTGGTCAGCTGCTCAGGTTTCTAAAGACTGGCACTGGCATTGACCATAAATACTCATATTTGTCCACTTCTGGGCAGGGAAAATGACGGAAAGTTGAAAAGACCGTGTGGATTTGGTTTGTAACACAACCACTATAACAGTTTGTGTTATGTTTTATAGAACCATTTTTTAAAAAATAAACGAAAAGAGCAAGAGGAGCAACCTCCATCCTCTGCATCCTCTGACAAACAAATTTGCACAGCTGTTACATAACAAAATATCATCACTTGAAGTTCTTTCCGCCTTCGTTGTTAATTTCTCTGAAGTGTTTGAAGTGTGTGCGCTCATACTGTGGCGCTCTCTCATCTGGCTATCTGGGAAATAAATACCCAATAAGCGCTCTATTGTTTGAGATAGCTCAAACAAAGGCTTTCCAAACACTTCTTCTCATCTTTGCCCAGTGTTGGTGCTCACTCACTTAGAACCAGTTCACACCACAGAAACACACGTGCACACACACTTATAAATACATCAAGTGGTCAGTGAAAGGCAGTTTGGGAGTTCCCAGTCATAAAATCGGTCAGTATTTCATCTGTAATGAAGAGAAGCATTTTATATTCAGTAAATACACCCTTCAGATTTGGCGTCTTTGATAAGAACAGTAATAAACTGTCAGTGTTTAGATCCAAAGGTAATTTTCTGGTAATTGTTCTCACCGAATGCCAAAGCATTTCATTCCTCCCTGGCAGATTAGATTAAATCGCTGCGTGGCTTCTTATGCAATGCTAGATGTTTCCTGTGATATGACAGCGTTCAGGCGGGGATGTGGGGACAACAATAATTATAAGTGCATGAGATTTAATCACTGCGTCTGGGGAGCAGGGGGAATTTGTGCCAGTGCTTTCCTCGTGTTTAGAGGAAAGTAGGTCCACTATAGGTGGCCAGGAAGTGCGACAGATATTTGGAGGGCTGTGAATTGCATCCGTCCTTTCTGCAGCGTTTCTATTTTTACCACAGCGTCTGAGCTCAGAACTGTGGCTTTAAGGTCCTTTTGTGAAAGTGAATCCATTAATGGACGGCCTCCCGGTTCACAGCCTCTGAAGACATCACCGGGCAGCTGTGAACTATTTAAGATGAGAAATAATACCATCCTTTTATGAACAAAACAAAGGCTATTGAGAAAGAAAGTGGCCAGTTCTGACCCGTCGACGTATCTCTGGGTTTTATGTAATATTTCCTAACCAAGCATGCAACCTGCTCCTACCTGCTTTTATGTTGGCACTTAAATCTACAAATACAGGTCACATTGCATAAAAAAAAAATCATGGATTTTGTTAGCATGGATTATATATAGTCCATTTTTTACACATTAAATTGATACAATGCAGAAATTCCCTCTGGTTTCGGGGTTGCAACATTTGTGAACATGGACCGAAAACATTTGACTGACATCAGCTGACAAACTGGAAATAAGACAAGATGACACATCCCTCTGGTCAGCACACCAATCAGAGTCATTCAGGGCACAGTTGTCAGAGAGCAAAGCTGATAATAAAATATTTCTGTGGATGTATTTATATCAGATATAAAATGGTGATTTGGTACTAAAGGTAAAAAAAAAATAATCAAGAAAAGAATGAGCAGAACATAATTTAATAGCTACTATAGTTGATAATGTAGTTTGTTCTTAGCTGTAACAATAATTTTCCTCTCTTCCTCTTCATTCACCTGTCTCTCAGATAGTAGTCTACCACCAGCGTACTCCCTTAGATCAAAATTGTGTAAAGTGTGCTGGTGCTTGGATGTGATTTAGAATGTAACAGGTGGGAATCTCCATTATCTCACTGACTGCTCTTTTCAGTGGGACTCGTGTCATGTAGCGTGCACTTTTAGGCTTGAAGACAAACTCATTTGCAGAAAGAATCCGAAGGAAAGAGCAATGTTTTACTCTTTGTTATCCTGTTACTGAAAAAAAAAAAAAAAAAAAGCTTCGCCTGCATTTGAATCCGAGAAAATTATAAGCAGTGGTGGACAAAGTACTCAACTCTAGTACTTGAGTAAAAGTATTGATACTCATGGTCAAATCTTACTCAGCTACCAGTAAAAGTTGCTCAATCAAAAGTTTATTCAAGTTAAAGTACTGAAGTACTTGCTAATACTTAAATAGTCAAAGCGCATGCATTTAAAAATACTCAAGTATTCAAAAGTGCAAATTATATTTTCTAATATCAGTACATTGTTGTATTGTTTGATGATGTAATTCCAAATCTATCCCATGTGTGAGCGGTGACTGTGATTGGTTCCCCTTGTGATGAGCATAGCATGTGGCCAATTTCATTTCAGGAAAGAAAATCAGCAACAGTGAATTACAAAGCTGAGCCAAAAGGAATGAGTAACAAGAAGTTTCCCAGAAATGTAGTGGAGTCGAAAGTACAATATTTATCTTTGAAATGTAGTGGAGTGAAAGTCACAAGTTCCCAAACACACAAATACTCAAGTAAAGTAAAGGTATTCAGAAAATGTACTTAAGTGAAAGTAAAGTGCTATATGTTGTCATCATTGTACAAAGTATATTCCCATACAATGGTGAAATTGGTTCTCTGCATTTAACCCATCACACCTGGGATGCACCCAGGTGGAGCAGTGGGCAGCTGTGTAGGTGCCCGATTGGGTGTCTTGCTCAGAGGTACCACGACGTGTGGGAATGGCTGGGGATTGAACCTGGGGCTTTTGGATCCTGAATCAGCTGCCCTGCCTCTACCCTATCTCGGCCCCTGTAACCTAACTCCTGTACTTAAGTACAGTATTCAAGTAAAAGTACTCAAGTGTTCAAGTAAATGTACTTCCTTGCTGTCCACCACTGATTACAAGTACATTTCATTGAAGACTAAATGTTTACATCAATATTTTGCTAGAAAGCCATGAGTTACAGCTGTAGATGCTATGTCACCAGGCAGTTTAACACGTTGATGTAAAACTGTTTTAATTTTTCACCTGAATGGTTTAAACAGTATCATGGGATCGAGATAAAGAAATACCTCCATCTTAGTTGGGTGTTTCTTCCGATTTGACAGCATTTCACTGCATTTTTTATTTTCATCTCAGCTGCTCCCTTCTGGAGGGCTCGCCACAGTGAGCAAAGTCATGTGACAAATTTGGTCATAGTTTAACCCTGGATGCTCTTCCTGATGCAACCTGGGCTCAAACCTGCTGCCACGGGATCACGAGACCACTGCACTGACCACTGAGCTCCCACTGCTTCCATTAGGCACTTCCCATTCTAATCAGTCATAATTATTTATTTTAGTCAATACTGTCAGACTAAAGCAAAATACTAGTAATATATTTTTTTCCATTATGTGATGTTGATTAGTAATTACCGTATTGTTTTGCTGTATAAGTTACACCGTTTTGCATAAATTTGCAAGTCCTGCGACTTATACATTGAAGCAACAAATATACGTTTTTTTCCCATATTTATAATCCAATTTTTGGCTGAGATCTGACGATTTCATTCATTCTGACATGGAAAATATTGAATTTATTTATTATTATTAATTTATTAAGGAAAAGTTCAACTGAGACACACCTTTACTATAATGTCGAGCAAACAAATACAGTAGTCCCTCGTTTATTGTGGGGGATCGGTACCCTGAAGACCTGCGATAAGTGAAAAACCGCAAAGTAGGAATATTTGTACAAGTAATAGTTTATATATATATA